GTCACATGGCCTCACATCAAACGGTCAAAAGTTTATAACCCGCTTCCTGATATTTGTTTGACACAGAGGACCTTGGGGCAAAATAGATTATACGGTCTACCTGTTGAGGACTAAAATCTACTCCTAGATCAGCGGCCCACTGTCTACAAAGTACGGGTGGGTAAGGTTTGGGTGGATTGCGCAGGCAGTTCCCCATGTATGACACAGGGTGTGTCTAGTTGGTTCTGCCTTCAAACATATGGTCTCCAAAATCCATCAACTGTCTCTGAGGGCACTTCTTTCTGGAGGAGCATAGATAGCGTCTAAATTGTAGGGATTTTTAATACCTTACTTGGTGCCCTGTAACAAAACCGATCTAATTAGATTGGGTACACAGGATCCCAACATGGTGTGACCCTAATGTCCAGCATCCAAAAGACATTCTATAGAGGGTTCACTTTTACACCGTTAAAGAGGCCATTTTACAGAAAGCTCAGGCGGATGGAGTAGTGGATTGGGATGGAGCCCGTATGGAAATGTTTCCAGATTTGTTTCCCACGGAACTCTAGCTAAACACTGGGCACTTTGTTCATTAACTAGAGCTCTTCAAGAGGCAAACATTTCATACCGCTGGGGGTTTTCCTTTTTGTCTTCTGGTTCAGAAGAATGGTAAAACCATCAGATTCACTTACCGGCCTTGTTTACTTAATTAGGGATCTTACCAATAGAATTAGCCCAATGGCCTGATTCACCACTAGAAAAGATTACAGTGCTTCAACAATCTGACCTGGGATACCGGGGGATACTGAAGCCATGGGGAGAATGTGACACTATTATGCTTCTGTTTTGCATTTAAGGATATTGATTTTTAGAAGTGATTGTAAAGTTGAATATATTGTTTTGTAGGTATTTATTGATATATGGGGCTGCTAAAGGTCCTAGAGGATCATTGATAGGGTGGGGGGGGCTTAAAAAAAAAGGGAAATATTTTTTTTTTGTATTGAAGGTACTAAAGACACACAGCTATTTGTAACCTATTATAATAATTTTTGAAGGGAAGCTAAAACTGAGCAACTGCATAGGCTGCTAACGTGTTTGCTATTTGCTATATTGCTGCTAAGGCACTTTCTGGGAATACAGATCATGAGTTCCAATTGTTTGTGGGATTTTACTGGTTACACAATTGATCCCGGTTTGTGATTAAGAAAGTACTGAGGTTAAGCAATTAAGAAAGTATTGATGCCAGGCATCTGGCACTTTCCAAAAGAGGACAGCTGTGGAATTTCTCTCAGCTTGGGCTTCCCTTTAAGAAAGCACTGGTATAATCTTAGTAAAATTTTCTGCATATAAAGCCTTGACAGACAATGCACTATGGCTCACTATAATAGAACACTTGTAATGGATGACAACAAAAAATCTATGACATAAATTGGTATTTGTGGCCGGGACCTGAGTAGTAGGTGCCACACCCCTGAGAACATTAATAGCAAAAAAGAGAAAAAGATGGGGGTTTTTGAGCACCAAATGACAACTCCAAAACGATTGACAGAAAAAAAAAGTGTTTTTAATGTTAATAATTTAAAAGATATTAGATGTGATATATTTCAAATCAAAACAACCAGCTGATCAGATGTCTCCTTATACGCTCACTCCATTAATAAACCACCCATTGCAAGAATAATTAACATGAGATGATTAAAATTCATTGGAGTTGATTCAATAGTGGAGGGACATGATCTTTGCTTGCTCCACTTATGAACATCCCATACCAAAATACATGATAAAATTGTTAGTTTATAACATGATTGAGCAATGGACAATTAAGGATGGTTAGCAAAGGAGGAGCGAATTCTTGTCTCAACGTTTCGCGCTCAGAGGCGCTTCTTCAGGAGCTGGAGAATATCACTTTAGCAGGCTGACATGCCTGTATCCCAACGGCCCCATCCGGGCACCACACCAAAACCAGTCCTCCCAAGGGAAAAAGAGAGGAGCGGGGACCAATTACCCCGTGTCAAGCAGTAGGAGATGGGAGGCATACACTGACAGAGAAACCTTACATGGATGAGGGAGCCACAGAGTTGGGGTCACTCATCCACTCAGCCACTGCTTCACAGGGAGACACCCCATACGCAAACGGGATTGCCTATCCTCCAGACACCTCTGAGCCACCAGCATCCCGTAAATTATTAACATTAAACACACTTTTTTTTTTACTGTCAATCATTTTGGAGTTGTCATTTGGTGCTCAAAAAACCCCATCTTTTTCTCGTTTTTGCTATTAACAAAAAATCTATGTATACTAGGTTTTTCATGTAGTTTTGGGATTTTATTTATTTATTTTTGTGTGTTATCTTGGAGAGTTGTGAATTTAGAGAAGATGAGAGATATAATGAGGTAACAGATATTTATTTTAGGCTACTCCCCCTGTCCCTCTTATAACCATCTGACTAAGAGGCCCTAAGTCAATAGGTTGGGATGAGTTATGGTGCCCAGACAGAGATGTATCTTGGGCAAGGGGAGGCACCTGTTGTGGCTGGAAGTGTTGCTAGGATTGAAATGATCAGGTTATTCACAAAAGGGTGAAGAGTTTGGAGAATGAAGGAGAAGGGAACAATCTAGGGCAACATAGCTGAACTGGAAAGTAAGCTGAATTAGAGAATTTTTCCAGGCTATTTTGGCCTAGATTGGTCACTTCTCCTGTCTTCTCCAAACTCTTCACCCTTTTGTGAATCACCCTGTATATATTTGGGGGCATTATACACTTATGTATGGTCTTGAGGCATACAGGGAAATGGGGGTAGATGTGTTGTAGCATGTTAAATATAATAAGAACGGGTATCCATTAATTAACACTTTAGATATGTTGATTACTGTAATTTGCATATTAGTCACAGTTATTGTATAATGGATTATTTTAAAAAAAAGGGGGGGTGGGGGGTAAGGAAAGGCAAAGAAGGAAAGGAGAAAGAGAAAAAAAAGAGAAAAAAGAAAAAAAAATGTAATTTTGAATACTGAAAAAAATAGTAGTTTGCATATGGAGCGTTGTTTTCTAACGTCTTTGTATAACAATAATTATTTTTTATATATTAATTTAAATTGTTCCGAGTTGGACACTGAATAATGAATAACTGTATTTGGTACTCCCCTGTCCCTTTTGTACTCGTCCAGTTATGAGGACTGATATTATCTGGAAGTGCCTTGCTATGGTGGCTGGACAGTCATATACCATTAGCAAGAGAGGCACTTGTGATGGAGAATGTGTGAATTATATACTTGGAGTGATTATACACAATTCTTTTTTTTTTTTATTTGGTCTCTTTATATAGTGGTCACAGTTACTGTTTATTGGTGTATACATTGTGGGGAATTTATCAAAGCACTTGCGAGTGTTTGAACTTGCACATAAAATATTTGCACCAGATTTATCAAGCTACTGTAATGTTGTTGATAAATTAGGTTTAACAAGTGCAGATGAAAACACGTGCAAAAAAGGTGCAAAAAACATGGGGCGGAATTTATCAAAGCAGTTGCGAGTGTTTGAACTTGCACATAAAATATTTGCACCAGATTTATCAAGCTACTGTAATGTTGTTGATTAGATGAGGTTTAATAGACTCCAAGAAAGAAGACTTCTAACTTGAGGCAAAAAGCTTAACTGTCGCATCTTGAAGAAGTGCTCATTGGGATTTCTTAAGTTGTGAGTGTTTTCTTAGGTGATGCTCCAGTTTCAGAAAGCCCAGAACAAGTGCAGATGAAAATACGTGCCAAAAAGGTGCAAAAAACATGCAGTTGAAAAAGTAGTGCAATCTCTGAAGAAAACAGGTGCAAAAAACATGCAGTTGAAAAAGAAGTGCAGGCTCTGAAGAAAACAGGGGCACATGTTAAAAGACAGATATGCACATAAAAATTATCTATGAGGCTAAAACTAGCAAGTGCTTTGATAAATTGCTCCCATTGTGTACACTGTTTTTTAAACATTGATAATCGCAGCAATTTTTACATGGATGAAATAATGAGTATTGAATAAGCACTCTCTTTTTTTGTGATCCTTTTTAGGGAGATCCTTTATATTTTGTTGCCTTAATAATATGTTAGGTTTCCCGTGAATGTTAAGTATATACTCTTTAATTAAGTTATGGGCTACCCCCGTGCTATTATCTTTCATGTCCCCCCACCGAAAGATTGCGTTCTCTCTTTTGAGGAAGAAAGAAGAGACCACTAACGGGAGTTCTTGTTCTCCAAATTTTTTCATTCTATTAGTGGCAGTTGGGGTGCTGTCCCCCAGCCCCTATTTTTTTTCTTCCTTTCTTCTATTGACTGTTGGGGTTAGTTAAATCCTCACCTTGTATGGCTTTCTTTCGGATTTGTTGCTGTTTGGGGGGTTTTTTTTTTTGGGGGGGGGGTTTGTGACAGGGTGGGATTCCGGATTGTGAGAGAGGTAACAGGTGAGTGATATTTCTTGTTTTAGCCGTGTTTGATTTTTGTTGGAGGTCCCTCTACTTTCATTGCAACATGCCTGAATTGAAAATTATCACTTTAAATCCCAGAGGCTTGAATATCTCTTCACACGTAGCCTTCATCCAGGAGACTAATTTCCAGGTGGATAGTGTTCCTAAACTGCATAATGATACACTATCAGCTACAGCTATCATGCCCCGTCTACCTATTCAAAGTCTAAGGGAGTGACTATACTGTTATCAAGGGGGCTCCCCTGGAAATATTTGGATCATTATGCAGATCCTGCTGGGAGAACATTATTTGTCAAGGGAGACCTTCATGGGATGAGGGTTACTCTAGCCATGGTTTATGCCCCTAACTGGAGGCATGTATGGCTGGACTGGTGTCACGTACCAGAGTGGAGACCAATAGTTGAGGAGGCTTCCCTTGCAGCTCGTGTCCCTCAACACTGAGGATGGGAACAGAGGAGGAGTGGCAATGAGCTGCACGAGTGCCAAGGATGCAGCAGACACTTGTGCCAAGGTAGAGAGTCCAGGATCTGTAACAGAGGCAGGTCAAGCCGGATGGGCAGCAGGGTACTAGAAGCAGAAGACAAAGGCGAGATACAACTGGAAGCCGTAGGTCAATTCCAGCCGAGCAGCGAAGTACCGAAACAGGAAGCAGAAGGAAGTCCAACGAACAGGCCTAGGTCCGGAGGCAATCCGGGTCAAACAAAGGAAGTAAGTCAACAAGGCAGAAGCAAGGAACACAGGGGACTAGCTGAAGATCATCCAGCAACTTAGGATATGGCAGGCTGGTTTATATAGGCCAATCCATTAGCAGCAGACGTGTCACTTTCTGTGCCCCTTACGTGCGCACGTTTTCGTGCGGAAGTCCGTTGCGCACTAGCGCACGTTTTCCAGCTACTCAGAAAATGGGGCCATGGCGGTGATTTAATATGACTCTGGAGCCAATGGTAGACTCCTCTAGTGGTCTTTCCCACCTCACTCTCAAAGGGGGCGTATTAAGAAGGCATTATTTGGTTATCAGCTGTTAGATATGTGGCGAATAGAGCACCCACAGGAAAAGCATTACACTTACTTCTCCATCCAACACCAGTCTCATTCCAGATTAGACTTTTTCTTTATGCAACAGGCTTCACTCCCTTATTTTTCTAAGATCTCAATTGGCTCTATGACGTTTTCAGACCATGCTCCAGTTCAAATGACTCTTATGGTAGGTCCTGAGATCAGATCTAGGGCATCGTGGCGGCTCAATGAAGCGTTGTTGCACGATGCTGCAACAGAGGCGGCTTTGCGAGGTGAACTAGAAACACATTTTTACAGATAACTGTCAAAGTCAAAATAGCTTTACGTTATAGAAGGCACATACATGTTTTATTGAAGGGTTTTCATTAAATAGGGGCGTGGCGTAAGTGTCAGCGCTCTAAGCAGATAGAAGACATCTTGGTTAAACTTAAGGGTTTGGAACTGCGTCATAAAGCTACTCTAGACAAGGCTATGTGGGCGGTACTATCTAAAACTAGAGCTGACTTAAATGGCTTTCTTATGGATAAAGTCAAGGCCCAGTTATCCAAAAGTAGAACCAGGAAAGTTGTTAGAGAGAATCAAGATCACGTACTTGTATGCCATCCTTTTGATCTGCAGATAAACAACTCCTAACTAAGTCGTCCAATATGGCCGATCTTTTTAGGGACTTTTATTATAAGCTTTATAATCTCTGGCCTGGAGCTGATCCTTTGGATGGTGGGGTGTCGGTTCGGGTGATTTAGAGATTACCTTGTTAATTCAAGTATGCTTATGTTGTCGGAACAAGAAAGGTCCCAGTTGGAGTCACCTATTATGGAGGAAGAATTCGTTTTAGCCCTTAAATCTGTGAAAGCGGGTTAAGGCTCCTGGGCCTGACGGGTATACACTGAAATATTACAAATGCTTTTAGGAAAATGCGTTTTGATCTTCCAGTCTTTGCTATGGGCGAATAAAAGAGCTAGGATAAGGTGTAGCCTCTTGACTTGATTAAAGTTATCTGGTGGTATTGGGTTTACAGACCCAAGTTTATACAATAAAGCTACTCGCCTTGCGCACATAGTGGATTGGTGTTGTAACAGGGAATGCAAACGGTGGGTTGGGCTCAGGGGACTCCCTTGGATTTTTCAAAAAATACCTCTGCAATTGTGGCTCAACCTTTACATAAGAGCAAAAATGGGTATCGCCAAGTCGGCTTTGCCCTCTTATAGTTTTTCTCCCACACCTATGACACTGATTGTTCAGAATTTTCCTCCAGGGTTGTGGGGATCCCGGTTTCATACTTTTGTTAACTCGGGCAGTGCATGCCTTCCATTTTATTTGAACATCTTCAGTGTAGATCTGTGGTGAAAATTCAGACCATGGTTGAGCCATTATTAGATTATTGGGGAGCCCTGCAAATCTCTCACTTTGTTAGGTCTATCAAAGGGAAAGATGAGCTTATGAGACCTTTAACACCATTTGAAAAGATGTGTTTATTGGCCAGTTCAGTTAGACATGTTCTTGCGTTGGTGGTCAAATGTTAAGTGGACTCTTCTACACTTTCTCCTCCGAGATCTTTGCAACAGTGGGAGCAGGATCTGGGGGGGTCCACCCCACAGGAAGCCGACCGTATATTACTATTAGTGCATAAATCCTCCATCTCCAATAGAATTAAGGAAACAGGGTATAAAATACTCACTTGTGGGTATAGGGTCCCAATACTCCTAGATAAAATGTACCCTATAACACCTAGTGTGTGTTGGCAAAGTAATGATCACCGGGGCATGTTTTTACATATATTCTGGGACTGCCCCCATATCCAACCTCACTGCGACAGGTGGCCGACCTCATAAAATAACTGATATACAGTAAGTCTTAATTTTGATCCTGCTACTTATCTTCTACACCGTAACTCCCAATCCATCAACTCATAAAAGAACCTTTGATTATTCATCTTTTGAATGCGGCTCGAGCAATTATTCCACCACAATTCTCAACTCATCGGTGGTGTTGTGGTTGCGTAGGGTGGAGGAGATGTCTTTAATGGAAGAACTGTTCTTCCATATATGATCGTTGTGATAAGCTTACACGGATTTTGCTATCCTTGGCTTAGATTTATCAATTCCACTGAATATATGCAGGCTTGCTCGTAGTCATGAAATGTCCAATGGCCTGGTTCCCTGGAGTAGGGGACCAGCATGCAATCATCATCCCTTACCTGTATCACAAAAAATATATAGATATATATATTTTCTTTTTCCCCCCCACTGTTTTTCCTTTATTCTTATTTCTTCTTTTGTTTGTGTCTTGCATCGTTGTTTTTGTGGGTGTTTTTTTAGCTTTCTTTGTGGTTTCTTGGTTTACTACTAGGTTGTTAAGTTCGTACGCTGGGTTATGCTATTCTCTCAGCATCTAGACTTCACTTTCCCTGTATTTTTGTTTAGATATATATGTTTTTTTAAATTTGTGAAAAATGCTGGGGGCAGGGAGGGCCTAGCTCTAGGTACTTGCATTGATCACCTACGGTTGAAACCTCTTTGGTTCTATGTTTATAGTTGGGAGATTGACTGTATATTTCTAATATTTAGTTATGTTGTTGGAATACATGTGTACTACAGTTGTTTTTGCTGTTCTTTAAAAATAAAGAATTAAAAAAAAGAAAAGAGCAAAGGAAGTGTACTTTGCTTTTGTGAGTTGGCCATGTCTCAGCACATATAGACAGGGCTGGATTAATATAGGGGCGGGTAGAGCTCCAGGCCTACCTTTGCCAATAGGCCCGGATCGCGGCCAGGCCGAGCTGTCCCGGATTGTGGCTGGGCCGAGCTGACCATGCAGCCGCGGTCCTCTATTCAGGCACATCAGAGGGCCCTCTGATGTGCCTGAGCAGGGAACCACATCTGTTGTGGCTGCAGTCGCCAATCTCTCTGACCCCTCTGGAGCCTGCACTGACCTCCCTGGAGCCCGCAGTGACCGCTTGGAGCCCGCAGTGACCGCTTGGAGCCCGCAGTGACCGATTGGAGCCCGCAGTGACCGATTGGAGCCCGCAGTGACCGATTGGAGCCCGCACTGACCGCCTGAGAGCCCGCACTGACCGCCTGAGAGCCCGCACTGACCGCCTGAGAGCCCGCACTGACCGCCTGAGAGCCCGCACTGACTTCACTGGCCTTCATAGAGCCAAACTGGCCACCTAAGAACCTGAATAGCCTCCTGAAAACCTGCACAGCCCCCCTAAACCCCACACAACTCTCCTGAGACCCTGGAGACATCAGGCCATGAACCCGGAGCAAACAAAGTATGTAGCTTCATTTTTTTCTGCATTGCTGTATAAAGTATTGCTGGGATTTGTAGTCCCCTATAGCTGATAGTATTATTCTGTAGTGCTTTACAATGTATTGCTGGTATTTGTAGTTTTCTATAGCTGATGGTATTATTCTGCAGTGCTTTACAATGTATATGTAACCTCTATAGCTGGTGGTATTCTGCATTGCTCCATAATGCTTTAATGGGATTTGTAGATTTCTATAGTTAGTGGTAATGTTCTGCATTGCTGTATAATTTCTTGCTGGGATTTGTAGTCCTCTATAGCTGGTGATATTCTGAATTTCTGTGTAATGTATTACTGTGATGTGTAGTCCTCTATAGTTGGTGGTATTCTGTATTGCTGTAAAATGTATTGCTAAGATTTCTAGTATCTCTACAGCTTGGAGTCATTGGCAGATCTACCAGGGCCCTAGAGCTCCACCACTGACTCCAAGCTGTAGAGAGACTACAAATCACAGCCTAGTCAGGAGGACCTTTGCCATGTCCATAAAAAGGCCCACCAAAATTCTCAGCACCAGGCCCAGGATGCTATTAATCCGGCCCTGCATATAGACATATAGGACCAGTACTGCCTATGATTCTTGATGGAGAGAACTTTCCATCTATGGCCTCTCTAATGAGTATTCAGCTGATAGACATTTTTGACTGGGCCTAGCTGCAAAAAGCCAATACAATCTTTTCGCTTGAAGGTGTCTTTAAAGTAAAAACATAACTTTTTTATCTAGTATGAAGAGGAGGAACAGGAATATGAAGAAGAAGAAGTAGTAGAAGAGGAAGAAACAGAAGCAGAACCAGTTCCAGAGCCACCTAAATCTGCACCTCCTCCAGTCACTGCTCCACCACTTATTCGACGAAAATCATCAGCCAATTACCGTTCCTATGCCACTGAGCCTCATGCCAAGGTAAGATGTAGCTATCTTTTGCAGGTTAGAAATGTAAAATTAAAAAAAGAATGAAAAGAAGAAAATAAAATTAGTCTCATTTAGAAAGCAGCCCTGCTAAGTTGAAATTTGCTTGAAATATTTATCATCTTTAGAAAAATGTTCATGTTACTTTGCAAGCTCTGTAATGCCCCTCAAGCCACCCCTTGCAGCAATGCAGTGAATAGCATGCTCTGGCAAATAAATGGGATTAAAGAAGAACTCTGGGTAGTTGAAAAATGAACCCTTGCAGCGGGGTTGCCTCCCCACTGCAAGGGTTAAAGGAGAACTATGAGGTGAGTGCTTTTCACTCCCCTCATAGTTCTAGCCGACCTGTGACAATGAGACTGTCACAGGTCGGCTCAGTAGATGGGGAAGTGAGCGAACACATACCGGCGTTCGCTCACCTCTCGATCCTGTCACGGCTCTCTGCCGTGACAGGGGAGGGGCTGGATTCGCCAGCGGGCACAGCTGGCTCTGCCTCTAGATAGGCAGAGCCAGCTGTCAGTCACGCAGCTGGGCGGATCCCGGCACAATTGTCGGGATCCGCTTCAGCTGCGCGTTATACTGAGCCTAGGGTGACGGGAGGACGCTAGTTTGTGTCCTCCCGTTACCCTAAGGAGAACTATGGGGAAAAGCCTTAACCCCATAGTTCTCCTTTAAGTACTCATTTTGGTCTAGGGTCTAAAATAAAAAAAATATATACTCACCCGATCCTTGGTCCAGTGTGGCTGCTAGACCGGTCCCCACATCCTCTTCTCCCCAAGGTTCTGACGGGCTAATGACACATGATGTCATCACATCTATTCGCCATCTATATCTAGGTGCCGAGGAACATTCAACAGCCAGAGCAGGTGAGTGGTCACCACTGTGGGACCAAGGATCGGGTGAGTAAATGTTTTTTATTTTAGACCCTAGACCAAAACAAGCGCTTGACCTTTGCCCATTTATCCGGTACCCACGGGATTGGTAGATGCTGGACAACTGTAGTTTCTGGTTGCTTAAGAGTTACTATTAACCCCATTCATTTTCTGGCGAGATTCTGCTATTGAATCTGATTATAGATTCTGCTATTTCAAATTGTCATAGCCAATAGCAGGCTGGCTATTGTACATGTCCACTACCCGTTGTTTACATTCACCTGCCAGCTGCGGAATCTAGCCGTCCACCACAGCAAGATGAAGACAGAGAACTTTATTAGTAACTAAATAAATTTAGTTGCTAACAATTTTTTTTAGTGTGCACATGACTATCGAACAACTAGCAAAAAAAATAGGACATATGTCCTTGATTTTTTTTTCTGATTGCTTGAGAGTTCTGGTGCTTGAATGCCAGATGATGGTAGAGTTTACTGTATTTTCACTGAGTAGCATTGTTGCTGCAATCTATATTTTGCTGCATCACTGTGTATTATTTCCGCTGTATACAATGAAATGCACCTGAATTTGCTAGTATAAATGTAGCCTACCTAGATCTACCCCCTTTACTATGACTAAGCCCAGGATTAGGTCAAACATGTCAGAGAGGGTGGAGCTCGGGCAGGACTCAGTGTCACTGACGAACTTTCAATAAACTGGTTCACCATGGAATGGATTGCGGCCGGATTCTTTCTTTACTATATACCTGTTTGGTTGGAGCACCCGGCTGTCTTTCCCCTGCTAAAGCTGTGGAGGTGCACATAGTGGATGGGGTAAAACATGAGCATAATAGTGACCTATTTTGATAGCGAAGGCCCACAGATTAATAAATTATAGTAATATGTTCCTCTAAAGAAACAATGTGTATGAAGCATTTACATCTTGTGTATTAATCAGAAGCATTTACAGCAAAGGACTATCTAGCTTGTTGAGTAAAGTCTTTTATAAGTATACAGGATGTGAGCTCATTAAAACTAAGACTGATAGCTCTCTATAGGTCACACTTTAGACTGCTTATCTGGACTTGAACGATTAGGTCATATATCTAGTAAATGTACTTATCGAGCTTTGCATGCTTTATACAGTACTGAAAAAAGAGTGCATTGAGGTCATATCAAATAGTCAGATGACAATGCAATGTAGATAGGATTAGTGGTTGCAGTTTTTCCAGATGCAAAACCAGTCATTTCCAGCCAGGTTGCTAAAAGTTCCTTGAGAAATGAACAATTTCCATCTCTCAGATAAGGAATCACTGGCACCAATGATCTCTTTAGCAGTCTGTAGGGGGGGAATTCTTCCCACTAATTCTCACTAACTCTCAACGTAGAAGAACATTCTTTCCACTGACCATTAATGTAACGGGGCACTACTCCCTTTAACCACCAATCTACTGGAATATTTATTTTTAATTGAAAAATTGCAGCACATATTATTACTGTGTCATTGATACTGCTTCACATAACAAATGTAATTTATTTTACCAGAGAAAACCAAAGATTTCTGCATCGCGGAAACTGCAGTTGAAGGTAATGTGATTGGGTTTTTTTTACATTGGAGTAACCATGAATAATAAAATAGGAGAGTATTTTAATATATATTCAAAGATACTGAAGGTAATGTCTTACCTCTGTGTTCCTCATATTAGCGGGGAATGGGTACCTGTGTAAAACCACTACTATACAAACATTCAGCATAGATACTAAGAGGTTTTTGTAATGGTCAAAAGTTGTCCATCCCTAAAGCACAGTAAGAAACACTGGGTCTTTTTAAATAAGTGTGCTCTATCTATAAAGTTTGGCCTGGGACACAGTAGGGTTTATTCAATCAACAGTGCAAGGAACAAAGTGCAGTAACTCATAGCAACCATAGCAATTATGTCCTTTGTTTCTCCTGAATTGACATGGTCAGTGCCGGATTTCGCACAAGGCCAAACAAGGCGCGGCCTTGGGGCAGCAGGGAGTAGAAGGATAGCAGGGGTGTGGAATGCCTGTCTCCCCATGCCTGGGACATGCAGTTCCAGGCGCCGGGCGGGTAGTTGCGTTCTACATTTAGCCCTGCTTTGGGCAAGCAAAGCTAAATGTACAGCAGGGAAGCCGCCGCTTGTTTTGTACAAGTGATCTTGGCGATATCGCTGAGATCACTTGTATGCAGCCTGCAGGTCTGCCATTTTCCATGGCGGGGGGGTGAGGGGGTGCAGGTAGGGGGCGCATTGAGGAACCTGGCCTTGGGGCAGCAGAGAGAGTAAACCCGGCCCTGGATATGGTGTAACTGCAGATTTAGGCCAGCTGGGCTTACATAAGGAACAGTGCAAAGCACAAAGTTTGGTAACCTATAACAATCATCAGAATTTGCTTCACTGTAGGCACCCTGGTACATGATTTGATCCAGATTTTGCACGTTGTTCCTTTTACAGTTTCATAAGATAAGACCATTGGTTATGGCCTTCTCTAACTGAGATTAAAAAGAGAATATAAAGGGGGCGTGGCCGGAAGTGGAGGAAGATGGTCGCATTATAGAGGAGCTCTGGCACCTGCAGCAACTGCAACTTCACTTTTACCTACACCTGATTGCCGGATTTGTGTTTCCGTTTGCCCATCTTAGTCTGGCAACACAATGATTCTAGCAAGGAAAAAGTTTATTTCCAATACAAAAGCTCTACCCAACCATAATGTCCACGACAGATGGGGATTTCCTGTCGAGCTTCTGATTACCCTTAAAGGCAAAACACATGTTGTCTCTGATGTGGATGTCGGATTCCAACTCCTTCAAAAATGGGGAATAATACAGTCATGGGATACTCTCATGGATGTATCCAATTCTTGCGGAGAATCCAGCAACACTTGATTCTTCAACTTATGATAGAAGTTGCATTCCTATGTTCTTCAATTATCTACTTCAACAGCCTCTTTAGGATGACCTGTTGCCAGACTTAGGAGCCCCCTTCCACCCATGTAGTTCTGCAGTTTTGTTAAACTGCCAAAGTGCTTTATGTGGGCCCTTCCATTTTTAAGTTCCTGGTTCTGATTTTTGTTTTTTATTTGTTTTTCTCTGATGTTCCTTTTTTTCCCTTTTTTTGACTGCTCTAGGGCATTATGTTTGTTCTTATCTAAGATATCTCAGATTTCTTTCCAACACCTAATACTCACTTGTGGGAATGACACTATGCATTATACATCGATAGTCAAGGATATACCTACTGCCTTATATAAGTCCTATATCCGGAATGTCTCTTAAAATCTTATCTATCAATGCTAAGGGTCTGAACAGCCCTTTCAAGAGAAACCAACTCTGGCATGAAGCACAACAACATAGTTGCGATGTCCAAGAAACTAATTTCCATTCTGAGCTCCTGTATCCAAGCATAAACATTTCTCTCACATTTTCTGTTCCAACGCCCCTACTAAAAAGAGGGGTGTCTCTGTGGCTATCCATGATACTGTTTCTTTTACACCTTTGGACTCTATCATAGACCCCAATGGTCGATTCATAATATTGATATGTGAATTGAATTCGGCACTTCTACTTAATGTATATGTTCCTAATGCAAAACAAATATAATTTCTTAAAACCCTTTTGAGTTAAATTCATAAAGTGCAGAAGGGTTCCCTCCTTTTATGTGGAGACTTTAATATTACCCCTGAAAGTCTTATAGATGTTTCTAAAGTAACAACACCCCGTAGGCCGTCTCTATCTACATGGCTGAACAAAGAGGATCTGTGACATATGGAGGTGCTTGCATCCCTCTGATGGAGATTTTAATAGACGTGTGCACCTGCAAAAAAATTTGTTTAGTTTCGTTTTCATCCGGATTTTGCGTTATTTCGTTTTTCGGGTCCGAAAGTCAATTCGTTTCGGGATTCGGACGAAATTAATTAGCGGTAGTCTGTACGAATTTTTGTTGCAGCAAAGTGACATTAGAGGGAAAAAAATTCTTTTTTTTTTTTTTACAGTCTGCAGAAGAGGAAAAAAAAAAGCGTGAGGTTCCCCCCCAATTCATACCAGGCCCTTTAGGTCTGGTAGGAATGTTAGGAGGGTAGGAGGGACCCCCCGCCCCCCCGGGTTAATAAAACATTGTGTGGGGTTCCCCTCAAACTCCATTCCCAAAAAATTTGGGGTCCCCCCAAACATTCCTACCAGACCCTTGATCCAAGCACAGGCCTGGCAGGGCAGGAAAGGGGGGAGGACGATCAAGCGCCCCCCCCCCCTTCCTGAGCCTTACTTAGGGGAAAACTCCCCGCAAAATGACATCTCCTGCCCGAAAGTAAACAGATGAGCGGAGTGAGCCGTGATGTCACCGGGCTCGCTCCGCCCATTTCACATTGTCAGCTGTCAAATAGTATACCACATAGCATTTGTGAGCTCCCAAATGCCATTCAGGTCTGTGAGCAGAGGTGTCATAATACTTTTCATATGACATCTCTGCTCACAGACCCGAATGGCATTCGGGAACTCCCTAATGCTATGTGGTATACTATTTGACAGCTGACAATGTGAAATGGGCGGAGCGAGCCCGGTGACATCACGGCTCACTCCGCTCATCTGTTTACTTTCGGGCAGGAGATGTCATTTTGCAGCGAGTTTTCGTCCGGTTTGGGCGGTCGTCACGTGGCGGGACTTTTTTTAAATTTTGGCGGGTGTCGTGCATCGTGATTGACACTGGATTACATCGATGGAGACTTTTTTTTTTAAATAAAGGAATAGTCAAAAATGTACTGTTTTTTTCAATTAAAGAATATTTTCTAAAAGTATGGTTTGTTTACTTACTTTGAATTTTAACCCTTTAGTGAATGAGTAGGCGTACAAGTACCCCTTACTCATTCACAAGGGGGGGGCAGCATCAGCATCTTAATTAAAGGGGTAGCCTGATGCAAATGTCGGGACACTCTTGAAAAAAAATATTGGTACTCATACTCGATATCTATGCATCCCTAGTCTGCACCAATTCCCTTGCCCGCAGACCCCCACAACCACCGGGTCAGGGTTGTGGGAAAGAGGCCCTTGTCCCCATTGGCATGGGGATACCCACCTAAGGCACATGGCCTGGTAAGGCACGGGGGGCGCTCGATCGTTCCCCCCTTTATTGCCCTGCAGGGTCTGTGCTCGGATCAAATGTCTGGTAGGAATGCCCCCCTGGGGTTCCCACTTAAAATTCCTACTAGACCTAAAGGGCTTGGTATGGATTTTTGGGGGAACCCCACACACTTGTTTTTGTTTTAACTTGACCTAGCATTCCTAAAGGGTCTGGTATCAATTGGGGGGAACCTCATGCTTTTTTTTTTTCTGCAGACTAAAAAAAAAAAAAAGTATTTTTTTTCCTCTGTCACTTGCTGCAACGAAAATTCGTCCACAAACGGAAATGTGTACAGACTACCGCTCGCTAATTTCGGTATCGGAAATTTGGATTCATTTGCATGCATAAGTTCTTTCTTTCGGAAATTCGGATACATCCGAATCTCCGATTTTCCGAAAATTCGTCCGAATAACAAATCTTTACAAAATGAATCGGTCATGTCTAGATTTTACCTTTTATTCTCCCCCACACAAATCCTATTCCAGGATTGACCTTTTCCTATCTGATTACTGGCCCCTCCAATGGATCACAAATGCCTCCATATACTCTATTACTTGGTCGGACCATGCCCCTATTACTACTATTAGTATTGACCAATCATCTAATGATAATCCTTCTCCACTTTAGCGAAATAATGTATCTATATTATCAGATCCTAAACACTATCAATATATATATCCCAACATTTAAACAATTATTTCACAACTAATGCTAACCCATCTCTTAATCCATATGCGTCATTGTGTGCCCATAAGGCCTATGTTAGAGGCATCCTGATTCAACTAGGATCCAGAGAAAAGAAACCGAGGTTGCATCATTATCAATCTATTCTTGACAAAATTAAACGACTTGAAACAGCCCATAAGCGCTCTCATGACCCTTCTGTATATGAATCTCTTTATCAATCTAGACAAGAATTAAAAACTTTGTTGATTTCTAAACAAAGCCATTATATAGCCAAACTCAATATCACCTTCTACCATCAAAGTAGCAAAGCTAGAAAACTATTGGAAGCACGTATTAAACAAAGGCAGACACGTTTCAAAATATCCCTGCTTTATCATCCCACTTCCAATAGCCCTCTAAGGAAACCTAAAGATATAGTTAATGCTATTGCATCATATTACCATTTTTTGTATACCGCAATCTTAAATTAGATCGCACGACTGTCCAACCCTCTATTCCATCTATCGAGGGCTTTTTAAAATCTATTAATATTCCAACAATTTCTGCCTCCGACAATTTGACCCTTAATGCCCCTTTTACGTGTGAAGAAATTAAAAACGTTAAGTCGTTGCCTGCCCATAAGTCACCAGGTGCTGATGGTTTTTCTGGAGAATATTTTCTGGAAAATATTTCAAATTGTACTCTTAATCCCTGTTTATACTCAAGCTGCAACCTCTGGATCCTTTCCTTCAGAAATGTTAAAAGCAATTATTTGGTACCGTACCGAAA